TTTCTATTCCTCTGCTCTATCGGCTTCCAGCTCAACGCACACTTTCCACTCCTCACTCACAAACCCCTCCGTCTCGGCTCAATCACCCTTCTCCTCAGCATCCTCCTCCTCTCTACCGTGTTCAGCTTTCACCACTCGCGCTTCATTTTCAGAATCCTCCAGTTTCAGTCCCCTGTCAGCATCCTCTCAAGCACCTGGCATTTCAAGCTCCAGTCTCATTCCATTGCACTCACACAAGTCAGACCAGCACCAACATCCTCCTTTTGAGGCTCCTCTTAAAGTGTCTCAAGCACAAAGCCCTTCAAGTTCCAGCCTCATTCATCCTCCTCCATTACACCCACGTCTATCAGACCAACACCAACAAGCTTCGCAAGCCGTGTCATACCAACGCCTGGAGTTCTCACATACAGCTCCTGATCCTCGTTACAAGAAAAGTGCTCGTGGTTCATATACCAGACAACATCCCTCGCTCGTATCGAACCTGCTTGGTGCGCTAACCCGATTCGTTCGCCGGTCCCTAGTCCTCCCCCGGCTACTTCTCAGGATTCACCAATCATTTCTCGTTCCCCACATTTTAGGTTACATTTTCGACCAGTTCTGCACCCGAAAAGCATGTGGGCTTGAGGGGCCCTTATGTGAGGCTCGGGGAAATGTCATTGGTGAATCGGGGGAGTTCCCTTCTTCGGACAATGATAGGGAGAGTATTAGAAAGTACCCAATAAACGAGGAGGTAGAGGTGTTTGATGACGGTGACTCTTGGTCGACAGCATGGCTTGTACAAGTGGTGCTAGCCATGGAAGAGGGTGGCTAGCTAGTCGCAAGGTTGGCTAACTTTGGTAGATGGTGATTCTTCAAGATGTGTAGAAGCCGCAAAATGTTCTGCAGTCATAGATGCCCTCTCATATGGCCGACAATGTGAAGGCCGCAACTCAGACGAGTCAAATGCTTGCAAGTGAAAACCGTAGCAAGTTTCACTAATGAATTGAACCAATGTATGTGCCTACTGTGATTTTACGCATGTTTGCAGATGTAGGTCCTAAACAATTAACGGAGGCTTCTGTTCTGAGTCAGTCGACAGTCGCACACGGTTGTTCGGACTCAGCTGAACCTCAGCCGAGCGCTCTACGACGTCAGCGACATTCTAAACGATCTGTCTATTGGCAGGCTTGCTTCGTCTGCAAACCAAGGGGCTCTTATTCCGATTTGACCAATCACCAACTCCACAGGCAACCGTTCACTTTCCACCACAGGTCGCAAGCCGTCGTAACACCGTCACCTGCCGAATGCGACCCTACGATCTGCGCATGAGCTCGGAAACCAATCAATTCCTGGTTTCCGAAGCGCACATCTGCCAGGCGAATTTGCAAATTTGCAGCCCCCCCGACTCGACATTTTGTGCACAAGCCCCTCTCGTGCACCCTCGTTCGAAGTTCGCAACATGAAGTCGCAAACACGCACATGCTTCTTCTCACGATATCGCTGAATGTATCTCTGGCATTTGCTTTCATATGACTATCATCTGCCCTGTGTCTTCATGCAGCTTACCGTGACAGCCCTTGCCCCTGCTCCTGCTTTTGCAGCCACACAGTATACCTGACAAATAACTGGTACTCCTTCACTCGACAAGCAGCTGGCTGGTTTATGTTCAGAGTGACTATTGGTTTTATTTGGGGCAAGCAAGCAAGCGTGACGTAGGTAGGGTAGTCGGGGAAATTTAGAGTCGCCGTTACAGCAGCACCCCTTGTCCGCCGTTTGGACGATGCCACAGTAACTAGTTCGCTACCAAGTAGGCGTGTGAGCGCTGGGAATCTGGGATGGGCCACCTCGGGTCAACTGAACGCGGCAGCGCCAGCCGCGAGTCCTGCGAATTTAGCGAAGCCAAGATTCGATTCTGCGAATTGTCAGTACTAAGGCCTATCACTAAACCACACGCGCAGCCAGTATGTATTCCACCCGAGCGTGAAGGACTCCGTTTAGAGACGCCTTACATCTGAGCTTGTTTATATCCTAAATGTAAGTGCGTCTGGAACTAGCACTGCTAGAGGTAGTAGGGCTGCTACTACCCAGCAGCGCCGCTCTGAGAACGAGTAAGGGTGCGAAACGGGAGATTAGTAGTACCTGCTGTTGCGCAGTCTCCTTACCGTTTGTAAGTGACTCGATAGCAGAGACGGGCTAATAAACCCTTCATATAATTAGCCTTCATACGGTCTGGTGTTCGTCGTTTGGAGGAGCTATGATTTGCCCGATCGTTTCGCAGTAACACCTTCGCTGGTCGTTTCGAGGAACTTCACTGGTCATTTGTGCTCCGAGCACCGCGGCTCGTGCGTGGAGCAGCGCACCCCACGATCAAGCAATCAGGCCTTACGGCGATGCCAGAAATTCGAACAAACGAGTGAGGGAATTGTGGGGAATCGCCGGCAGTACCGAGGCAAAAAGGAGCCGAAAAAAATCATCCACCAAGCGAGCTGAACGTGCGGCGAGTTCGGTGAAGTTCGGCGAAGCGAAGCGAAGATCGCGAAAGCGAGGCAATTTTTGCGTCACCATGGTGAAAATAGGCGGCGCGCGATTGGAGGACGTGTCGCCGTTTTTCCATCTGCCTATAGAGGAGGCGGCGCGCGAGCTAGGCGTGTGCTCCAGCGCGCTCAAGCGGCGCTGCCGGCGATTGGGAATCAAGCGATGGCCGTTCCGCAAGGTAGGCGCCACCCTGTGTCACACATCCCAAAATTGGCCACTCGATGAAAAGAGGGGTGAATGATGCACAATCAGTGATTATGGTTCTTCTGATGTGATCTTTGTATCTGTTCCAAACATAAGAAAAAGGACGCAAGGAAAAACTGATTCCTGTACAACCCCCCCCCCCCCCCCCCCCCCCCTGTGCTGTTTTCCTTTCCGCTTCAGGTGCGCAGCATGAGCAACTCACTATCGCGTACGATGGAAGGCATGTGCAACGTGGGCGCGGGCGGGTTCGTCCCCCCGGAATACCTCCAACCAGACGCCGCCACGCGTCTCGCAGCGCAGGTGGCCGCGGCAAATCTAATTAACCTGGACCAGACGCGCCGCCCGCTACTGCCGCCCATGAACCGCCCGCTCATGGGCGCGCGGGGGGCGGCAGGCGCGGCGGCGCCCGCGGCGGCGGGAGACGCGGGGGCGGGCGCGGGGGGGATGGTTGCGCAGATGGGGGGAAGCGCGGGAGGAGGTGGCGGAAGCGGAGGGGGGGATGGAGATGGGGATGAGATTCAGGAGGCGGGAGCAATCGTGCTTCATATGGGTGACTCTCCTGTACTCGCTTGGGAGTCACCCGATAAGTGTGACGAGCAGAGCCCGTGGGAAGGCGGAGGAGGCGGGATGGAGGGCGGTTTTCGCGGCGCTGAGTTGGCTATGCGTGAGGGCACTATGGGGGAAGGAGGTACGTTGTTTTGGTGTCTCGTTAGGCACCACTCTCATCGTTTTCCCTGAAAAAAAACTAGCCCGAGTTTCCTCTTGCTCTTCCACGTTCGCAAGTCCCATTTTTCATCTTTTTTTTTTCCATTCGTCTCGTCCCTTCCTTTCCACCAGGCCCGTCCCTCATGCTCTCGGTGATTCGCCACGCCGCTGCCAGCAGAGCGGAAGCGGACAAGGATTTACCACACGGTTACGACAGCACACACGCCCTACTCCTCTCCAACCCTTCCCCTTTCCTCCGCCCACACCACCCGCCCCACCAAACCCACCCAACCCAGCCCGCCCACCCAGCTAACGCACCCCACCCATCTCAACTCCCACATCCCCCTCCACAACCTCTTCAAATCCCTCCCTCCCTTCCTCCCATGATGACTCCCAGCAATCCCGCTCCCGCCTTCCCTCCTCCATTCCCCGCTCCCTTCCCTCACGCTACTCTCTCCCTCCCACCACCTCCCTCCTCTCTCCCTCCTTCCTCCCTCCATCCCACCACTTCCCTCCCTGCAACCCTCTCATTCCCACCGCCTCCCTCCTCTCTCCCCCCTCTCCGCTCCTCCTCTTCCTTGGAACCTCCGAATCGCCTTCTACACATAGACCACTCGCGATTGGTGCTGCCGCCGCCCTGTGCTGACGTCAGGCCCTCTCCTGCTGACGTCAGCCGTGCACCACTGTCAGCACCTGGTGACGTCATCCGGCCATCCTTCCAGCCGCTTTCCCTCCCGAACCTGACGGCTTGGTCCAAACCTCCCAGTACGCCTGGGAAGCTGCTTTCAAGCAGCCAATCCAGTGGGCCCTCAAACACCCCACTACACCACCCCATCAATTCATCAAATACACCCATATATCCAATCTCTACACCCGCCAACCACGCTTCTACAGTGTCAGTACGCAAATCTACACCCGTTATTTCATTTCCCGCAACTACTCCCGTGATGCACAGCGAATTTACGCCCAGCAGAAGCTTATCCACAGTAACAGAGCCACCCTTAACGGGGCACCCTCCGCCTCTCGCTCTCCCATCGCCACCACTGCCCCTCAGCCATCCACCGTTCACCCTTAGAGGCCCAGCTGGGTCCACGTCAGCTGTTGCCACATCAGCAGTTGACACGTCAGCGGCCGCAGCAACAGAAGCAGGAGGGACAGGTGGACATGAGGGTTTGGACCCCCAAGTGCAGTCTCAGCAGCAATTGCAGCAGCAACAGCAGCAGCAGCAGCAGCAGCAGCAGCAGCAGCAGCAGCAGCAGCAGCAGCAGCAGCAGCAGCAGCAGCAGCAGCAGCAGCAGCAGCAGCAGCAGCAGCAGCAGCAGCAGCAGCAGCAGCAGCAGCAGCAGCAGCAGCAGCAGCAGCAGCAGCAGCATCACCATCACCATCACCACCACCCAGTGATGTATCATCAGCAAAAGGACAACCATGAACAGAGTTACCAGTACCTGCAGCACAGCCATCCACCGCACCATCAATATGACCAGTATCAGCAGCACCAGCAACAGCAATACCACCACCACCAGGACCACCAGCAGCAGTTGCAGCAGCAGCAGCAGCAGCAGCAGCAATGGGAAAGCATGCCGCCTTTACGCTTCGAGTCGCATCACGGGCAGGATGAAGATTTTGAGCTGCCCGAGCCAGTCCTCCTGGACGGATTTCACCTCCAGGAGATTGTATTGGATGACGGGAGCTACTTCTTCACGCCTCCACGTGAAACACCCTTTACTCATTACAAGCTGTCTCCTTTCAAGTCCGTTATCAGCAATAGCAATGCCACACAAAAAGATCTGAGTGGCTGTGAGCCTATGGATACCGATCTATCCACAGCAATTGCAGCTGCTTCTACCGAGGATGTGCGCATGCAGGAAGTGCTTATAACGGGAGTGCATACTCCGCAGGGAGAGCTTGAACATGCTAGTAACACGGATGGAGTGAGCCACGCGGATCAGCGTACTGGAGTGTTGGAGTCAGAGGGGGATGCAGCTGCTAGGAAGGAAGGAGGGGGAAAGGAAGTGGACCAGAGGAAAGGAGAGACGGTGGGGTGTTTGGAGGAGGTGGGTGGAGGGGTTGGGGCGGCAGTGACAGAGGAACGAGAGGAGGAGGTGGATAATGCCACAATACAAGTGGCTACAGCAAGTGTGACTGGAGGAGCAGCGATGCAGGAAGAAATGACAGACATGTTGAAGAACGAGCTGAAGAGAGAGTCTCCAACGGGTAGCACCCTGAAGAGGGGGCCTCTACTAGATGGCACACTGAACAAGGAGTCTCCAACGGGTAGCACCCTGAAAAGAGCATACAGCTGCTTCGCCTTCCACTCCAACTCACCCACGCGGACCAATCAGACTGGAGGAGGCTGGTGCCACCAGCACAATGGGGGGGTTTCGTCTCCTGATGCTCATGAGATGAACCTGCTTCAGGGTGTGTTCGAGGATTTTCCAACACACCCCGAGCCTGGATTGTCACCTGAAACGCGCCGCTTTCTCCAAAGCCTGGGGCTGCTGGGAAGCCCGAAGCTGCACAGCCCCGTGGCTAGAGGTTCGGGACTCCGCAGCCCGAACCTGATGGCTTCCAGGCTCGGGAGTCCAGGGATCGCTGTGCTGAACCTGGCAGGCTCGGGGAGCAGCAGCCCGAACCTGATGGGGGCGAGGCTGATCAGCCCAGGGCTGAGGTCCAGGCTCGGGAGTCCAGCCAGAGAGAGAAGGTTCAACAGTCCGCCGAACCTGCGACACACGAACCTGCACAGCCCGAGCCTGAGGTCCAGGTTCAGCAGCCCAGTCAGGTTCGGCGGGGCACGAAGCGGGTTGAGCCCAGGCTCGGCAAGAGGACAGGGTAATCCCAGGCAAGGGCGCAGGGAATGCCGGAGCTCCATTGAAGGCCCCCACAAGGGCGGTCCTAGAGCCATTAAAGCCCCAGTTAAGGGAAGTAGCGGTACTAACCCCATTAAAGCCCACGTGCAAGGTGGCGATGGTGTGTTCCGAAGCTCCATTGAACCCCCCCATAGGGGTCATGCTAGTCCGTTGCACCTGGTGTTACCCTCGTTGGCTCTTCTGGAATCTAGGAGCAGCGGAGAGCAGCCAGGGGGGCATGGGACAGCAGCAGAGGAGAAAGCAGCAGGGGAAAAAGCGCCAGGGGAGAAGGGAGATTCTGGGGAGGAGGATGCTGCAGGGGAGGGAGGTGCTGGGAATACGGGAGCTGCAGGGGACGGAGGGGAGGACGATGGGAGCAGCAAGAGCCAGAAGGATATCGGCGGCAAATACATGTCCCCTGCTCAAACCATCACGAGCCCGAACCATGGCCCAAGTGAAACTCTGAGACAGTCCCAAAGCCGCAGTGAGAGTCCCACGTTGCTGCTGCCAGCCTCGTCCTTCTGGATGCACAGCCCGTCTCACCTTCCACATATCTGCAGCCCTGTGAGGGCTTCTGGGGCTGCTTCTGCTGCTGCTGGGGTGCACTGCACTGCACGGCTGCATGCACGAACCAGCCCGTGTAGGCTCTCCGGAATCGCAGGGATTCAGAGCCCTTCGAAGCTTTTGGGCTTCCACAGCCCTTCCCAGCTCATCAGGCTGCACAGCCCATCCAGGTTCGGAGCATTTGGAGCACTTTATTCACGCATGCACAGCCCTGGGATTGGAGGGGTCCATAGCCCTGGTGTGATTGGTGCGTTTCACAGCCCGTCCAGGCTCGGCAGCACTGTACATAGCCACATACACAGCACTGGAGTGGGCGCGGTTCAGATTCCAAACCTCCCTTCTAGGCTTGGCAGCACTGTACATACCCAGGTGGTACACCAGAATTTGTCTGGTGGAGTGGTTCATCAAACTGGTAGTCCTTCGAGGATAGGCAGGATTGTACATACAGGTACGGGTACTAGCCCATGTAGGATGGGATGTTTGCAGCAGAGTCCATCGAGATTTGGCAAGGAGAGCAGGGCGCATGCAAGCGTGCTGTTTCGACGGGAAAAGGAAGGGCGCGGTGGAGGGAGAGCCTCGTTTCTGGGAATGGAGCCCATGTGCTTGGACAGCGGCACAGGAAGTGACGGTGGTACAGGAGGCGATTCTTGTACCAATGCTTGTACAGGAAGTGACGGTCGCATAGGAGAGGACGGCAAGACAGGAGACGGGGGTGAAATAGAAGATCGCGGCAGCAAAAGAGGCGGTGAAATCACACGAGGCGATGATGGCACTGCTGGGAGTTGTGGCAAAAGAAATGACGATGGTACCGTTGGAGCTTCTGGAGGCGTTCAAAATGACAAAGAGGAAGATGTTTTCATACCAGACCTGTTGTAGTGAATCCCTAGACATTAGGAAGCCATACTGGTGTGAGGGCAGTGTTTGGCATGATTGTATGGTATGCATCTTCAATGAATACTTGGATGAATCACATGTCATGCACCTGTCCAGTACCATAGATAAATGGAGAATCTCCAAAAACGGGAGATGGTGAACTTTGATGGAAAAATGGAATGTAACTGCTGCTTAAGCACAAATACGGTATCAATCTGCACAGGTAAAAACATGCGGGTTTCAACTCAAGAAAGAGATGAATAAAGACACTCCAAAGTATGGCATGCATTAACTGGAGAATAAACCTACCAGGATTCAATCAGATAAAGTTTTCAAGGGCCATCAAGAATGGCCTTCTCCACGTCCTCTCTGCTGAAAGAATAGCTGAACTTCCGTTCAATGTCTCTGCTCAGGTTTCCAGGTCCACTCTTCAAGTACCTGGCGATGACAGCAGAGCATGGTGGAGAGCATGGAATGAAACTAAACTAACAAATAAAGAAGATCTGAATGAATTATCACTGATTTAAGAAACGGCTCCAAGAAGTGAATGAAAACAGGCGAAGGCTCAGGGAGAAAGAACAGAACTGAAATGCCAGCTTCCAGCATCACAACATGCCGATGCCAGTAATAAAACCAACCAGAAAGTTAGCCTAAGAGGACCGCTCCCTTGACAAGCTGTGTATCGTACGGCCACCTTCAGAGAACTCCTCAAGCTTGTTGATCCAAACCAGAAAACCATCCTTCGCATTCAAATTCTCTTCTCTAACGACTCGAATATACATAAATTTGGACATTGACCACACCTCAGGCACTCATCTCACCACCACATCCACGTCTGATGCATCCGTGACCAGCTCCGTATGCCATCTTTCAGCATAAATGTCCCATGGAAGGAGACGATTATTGAGAGACGAAATCACACCTCAGGCGCTCACCTCACAACCACATCTGTCACATCCGTCACCAGCTCCGCATGCCAGTCGCTCCGCTCAAGACGCCAGAGCTCAGGCTTCGCGGCCGATTGCTGAAACCCTAACGATCGGAGCCACGCCTCGATCGACGGTAAGCTGCATGCGTATAACGCGGATGATTTGTCTGGAAGCTTTGCCAGCCAATCCTCGTCCGTGAACGATGTAAAGTCGTCTGCGGCGACTGCAACGACGACTTTCGCACGCCTACTCTGAAATCTTGATCCCGGAAATGCCCTACGATGGCTGTGCTTCTGCGAAAATGCGACAGACCGAAGACAAGGCAGGAGAGAAACAGGTCCTAAACGCACGCAAGCTCCTGAATTCGACGCGTGCAAAGCCTTGGAGGAGGATAAACAGGCTGGACTTGGTCGTATTGTGGAGAGACACGCCACGTCCGCCATGGCACACTGGTTTTACATACACAAATATGACACTCTGCTTGCCTTCGTTGTCAGTCTGAAAGGAGGTTCAACTCAACATGACCTCGTCAAGCCTCATTCCTGCACTCACATATCTCATCCCACACTCAAGCATCCACAAGAGAACCATGTGTTACAAACGAGCGAAGCGAGCATTTCACTAACGGGAACAAATGTTGTACGCGTTAGGCGGGTTCTCATTACGAAATTTGGGAAATCTCGCTAGAGTAACCTTTATCAGCAAGTCTGGTGGCACTGGTTTAGATACTGTATATTTCAAAGTGGAGTCGTTACTCAATAAAGAGCGCGAGACTCGGTAGAGCAAGAATAGGCGAGCGATTTGAAGCAAACCTACGCAGGAAAGTGGAGTCGCTACCATAGGTGAGCGTTTGTTGATATACGAGCGTACGTGGTATAGTCTTTATACATCCACACTTAGATTAGATATGCATGTAAAACAATCAGGTGTATATCTGGCGCTACACCGGAAATAAGGAAAATATGTCAATGGTAACTTACGTGGGGCACTAAAACGCGTACGGCAACGATTTCAACGCGTTTGGTTTGGTAACTCGCCTAACGTGTTTGATAACTCGCTTAACACGTTTGGTAACTTGACACACACGAGTGATCACGCAAATTGTAACTACATGAAACTCCCGCCGAAATGATCCTGCAATCGAGGAGTTTATCAAGTTAGAAAGCGTTTATGCACAGTTTTATCTTTCTTGAACAAGTCCCGCCGCGACTTTGAAGAACCCCGTTTGTTCTATTACCACGGAACGAAAAGTTTCAGAGCCGTTTGATATACATGTATATAGCTCGTACAAAAAAGGTTTTTATCATATTTTTGATAGCATGGTTGTGAGCTTACAAAATGATTAAAAAAAGGACATTCCGCGAAATGACCTCGATTATTTTACGTTTTTGTAATTACTGCAACGTTCGCCATTTTTTTTTGTCAGACTTAGATGCTAAAGTCTATCTAGGCTGTAGTGGGGTAGAGATACTGTAGGGTACAACACTTCTAGGTTTCCTGCTTGTACCCATCTCTTTCTTAGTCAATTCATCCCTCGTTATTTTCACATGGTATAGAGCAGGTTCCCTAGTGGAAACGTTTTCAAGGGGCCACCAATATTACAATTTTTTTTTTGCCTGCCCGGAGCGCGCTTCGCGCCTGCCCTAGTCGCGCCCCGTGCGCCTGCCCTCCCGTCGCGTCCCCTGCCCTTAGCGGCCCGTTGCGCCCCTTAAGGCCCCTTCGCGGCCCCTTCTCGGCCCTTCGCGGCCCCTCTCTCAGCCCTTCGCGGCCCCTTTGTGGCCCTTCGTGGCCCCTCTCACGGCCCTTCGCGGCCCCTTCGCGGCCCCTCGCGGCCCCTTCGCGGCCCCTCGCGGCCCCTTAGCGGCCCTTCGCGGCCCCTTCACGGCCCCTCCGCGGCCCTTCGCGGCCCTTCGAGGCCCCTTCACGGCCCCTCCGCGGCCCCTTAACGGCTCTTCGCGGCACCTTCACGGCCCCTCCACGGCTCTTCGCGGCCCTGCCGCCCCGCCGTCGCCGCTCCAGCAGCAGCTGCCGTCGCGCCGGCTGCCGCTGCCGCTTCTACCACGGCCGTTCGCCGCCGCCGCTGCTGCAGTGACAGCCGCTGGCGCTGCTGCTATGACAACCGCCGCCGCCGCTGCTGTTGAGATAACCGCCGCTGCCACTGCCGTGACAGCCGCCGCCGCTGTCCCGGCCCTACCCTGCAGCCGAGTCGCGGCCCTCCTCTGCCGCCCTGTCGCGACCCTCTTCCTGCCAGCGCGGCCCTGCCCCACCACTTGCGGGCTTCTACCCACCCGCCCCTGGTAAGCGCACCGCCGAGCCGCGTGAGAAGAAATGAACGAGAATGAAATGACTATGAACGAAGTGAGTACAAATAGGAAACCCTAATTGGGTTGTACCCCCTATGGGATACCCCACTATAGCCTACAGAAATAAGTAAGCTATAATGTTCTGACACACCCCCATAGGCAAAGTGGGGGAGAACAAGGGGTCACAAGACCAGTCAAGCAAAGCAAAGCAAAGCTCAGGGTGGATCACAAAGTCACCACGCATTCCGAGCACAAGTTTAAAGGCCAGAAGGCCAGTTCACATGCAAGATCATATATAGAGATATACAAGAGTCAAGCAAGCAAGAGCAAGAGTATATATAGGCGAAGGTACAAGCAAGGTCAAGAGGAGAGCAAGTGAGGCAAGACAGGCACAAGACCCAACTGCGTGCAACAACGCTGATGATCACAAGGCGCAAGTGCCTTGGTGAAGACATCAGCAGTGTTGGCCTCAGAGGCCACGTACGCAAGTCGCAACTGTCCACGCTGCTGTAGCTCACGAGCAAGAAAGTAGCGGAGAGCAATGTGCTTCGTTCTGTGCTCCAGTCGCTGCTCTCGACACAAGGCCAGCATGGCCTTGTTGTCTACGTACAGGACTGGAGGAGAAGGAGGCTGCTCTCCAAGGTCGATCAGCAGGTAGGTGAGCCAGCGTAGCTCCTGTGCAGCCATAGCCCCAGCGTAGATCTCAGCCTCACAACTGGAGCCGAGAACAGAAGACGAGCGGGTAGCCCGCCACGAAACAGAGCCGGAACCAAGGCTGAAGGTGTAACCCTGTGACGACCGCTGCGTAGCCTGGTCGTCAGCCCAAGAAGCGTCTGCGTGCCCAGTGAGGACCACTGGACTGCGCCCTCCAAGCACTAGCCCCATGCCCGACGTACTGCACAAGTAGCGCAACACCCTCTTCGCTGCAGCCATGTGCTCCGGTCGGTGTCTCCAAGGAGCAACATAGCGTGCGAGAATGCTAAGAGGGTATGCAAGGTCAGGTCGTGTGCAGGTCATCAGGTACATGAGGCAGCCAACAAGCTCTGCAAACGGGCCACTCGACTCTACGGACTCATCCGAAGGCAGAGCTGAGAGCGAGTGGCGAGTAGGCAGAGGAGTGGCCTGAGGCGAGGAGTACGTGAAGCCGAAGCGCTGAAGGACCTGCTGCACCATGTGTGACTGAGTCAGGGTAATGGTGCGGCGTGCTCTGTCCCGGGTGATCTGCAAGCCAAGGTAGCTACGCAGTTCACCCAGGTCAGTGCACGTGTGTCTCTTCTGCAGCTCGGACTTCACGTAGGCGAGTCCAGCAGTGTCAGCTGTGGCAA